CAAAGGCAAAAAGACTCTCTGTGGCTCCTCCTTAATGCTTTTACCGTTTTTTTTTTATGTGCACTGCTGTCCAGGTTGTTCACACAGCTCTGATTTTCCTGTCAGTTCCAGTCGCCTTTGAGTGGGCCGTGCCCCAAATGTTGGAGCCAAGCTCTGCATATTTCTGCAAGCACAAACAAACCAGCAACACGGAGCACAAACCGCATCAGAGCAAGTTCTGTGTGCTCAGGGCTTCTGTTTGTGGAATATTTTATAGAATTACCACTGTTTTTCTCTGGCAAAATCAGGTTTAAATGAATGGAAATGTTAAATACGTGTTGATGCCTGACACCAAAAACCAAAACATACCTGGACATGTTTGTTGTTTAGCTGTTTGATGTAAAAAAAAAAAAAGATTTCTGCACACATAACTGAGGTCAAATTACAGCTGCTACCTCATTTTAGGGGATGTTTTCATGCCAGGGTTCAATAGATGTAAAGAGATTGTGCAAATGAATTTTAAGAAACGACAATAAAAAGTACATGAGCTCCATTTTTTTTACGCATTCTCGTAAAATATGGCTACTTTTTTGTTATATTTCCGCACACTTAGTACATTATATTAGCAAATAAACTTATTTCGACGTCCAAACATCACATATTGAAAAAATGCTTACATCCCCATATCAGAATCTATCCATCAAGCCACTGTCTTTACAGCAAAACTCGCACAAGTGATTGGAGTGGTGCACTTTTACGCACAGACCCAGCCTAATGGACACACACTCTTCCTAAAACGCGTCCTCGTTCACCGTGTGTTCTGAGTATGTTCGATCCGATTCTGATCAATACACTTCAGCTAACATCAGCCCCCCCCCCCCCCCCCCCCCGCCCCCTCCGCCCTCACCCGTGTGCTCCACCTGTGAGGGGGCCGGTGGGAGGCCGGCAGATCCCGCCTCCTCGGATCCTATTGGGCCGCGCGGAGCCAACGGGGGAGTCTGTGCCTTGTGCTTCAGATCTGTGCAGCGGCTAAGCTCAGCTGGGGGGTGGGGGGGGGGGGGGGGGGGGGGTGATCTCTGGGAATCACACGCGCAGAATATTTCCATCGCGCCAGTTGGGAAAAAAGCGTTCCGGGGATTTTTACTCATCCCAGGGCGGGAGAGGAGGACCGACTCCGCATCTTTCATAAACAATTCCTCCTCCTCCTCATCCTCATCCTCATCCTCAACCCACCTGCCCTGTGCGCGCGAAGCCCATGGAGGGATGTCGCGATGCTGTGCACACGGAGAACGAAAACTTTGGTGTCGACGTGCGTGATCCTGAGCGGCATGACCAACATCGTGTGCCTGCTGTACGTGGGCTGGATCACCAACTACGTGGCCAACGGCGGGGCCAAAGTTGCGGAGGGCGGCAGCAACGGAGGCGGCGGCGAGGCGGGGGCAAAGTTGGAGGAGGACGGCAGGGGCGAGACGCTGAGGATTATCGAGAGGCTGGACCGGCTGGAGAGCGTCGTGAACGAGCACATCAGAGGTCTGTAGGGCGCCCGGGAGGAACATCTGGAGCGTTAGGGTTTCTCAAAAGAGCGGCGGAGGGGTGTGCGTCATGGTGCTGAGGTTGGCTCCAGAGAGGCTCCGAAAGCTTCCAGATAGCAATCATGTTCACCTATGTCTGTTTAGTGTTTTTTCTTTAAAAAAAAAAGACCACATCTGTCTCCTTTCCTGATATTTCATCCCAAACTGACCTTATATCACAGGTTGCTGCACCTGTGCATCAATTAGTTCCTCTTATTATTCATCTTTTTTTACTTTTAAGTGTAAGTTCAGCCTACTTTTTTTCAGAAGTTGTTGAATCAATGACTTCCACCCTCCTCCAGACGCATAAAAGGCAAATCTTCTTCTCTCTGAGTATCTGTAAATGAGTAAAAGTGAGTTGTCTCCCCTCTGTGCCTCCACAGACTAACTTTGAATTTAGAGCTCTCTTGGTCATTGGCTCACAGTCACATAGATCGTTATTTATTCATCCTCTCTGCCACATTGTGATTCTCCCCCCCTGTCTGATGTGAGTGGAGAGTTAAATCCACTGGTAGCTGGCGTCCCACTTTAATGCGTTATCAGTGTTTGCGTTACTGGCCCCGTTTGCAGCCGTCTCTCTGGCCGATTCTCAAGCTAATTTCAGAAATCAGATTAGGTCAGAGCCGGACGAGCTTCTGCAGATGTTTCTCAGTGGGACACCAGAGGAGCCGAGCGGCTGCTTTGTTTATGGCCTCTCAAACGGGATCCCGCTCATCGATAAGATGTCTCAGTGATCCACAAACAGGAGTGCCTCCATGTTTAATTACCGTGCTCGCATATTAGCGAGTCAACACAAATTAAGAAGGGAGACAAAGTCTTTCCTGTATGGTCCACTCAATGGGTTCATGCACAGTCCAGTAAATTAACAAACGATAGAGAGGAAATGTTCCGTCTGCAGAAACCGAGATGATTAAAGCCCAGATGGAGCCTCATCTTGAAAGGCCCCATAGTCAGAGTTCCATTCTATGGAGAGATAAGGACCAATGTTTTTATCCAACATCTGAGAGAAAGACTGATGATCCAGGATTCATTTTCCCTCTCGGATGAGTTTGCTGGGTGTGCACTTCTTATCAGAATTACCACTGAGTTTTGAATTGGGGTCAAATTAACCAGAAGAAGGAAGAAATCATTCATTCACAAGCAAAAACATCCCACAGGAGGTCAGTTTACAGGCCCAGATAGCCGACCGTTGCTTTATATATTATTCACAGTGCAGTGAGTTTCTTCATTCTGAGCTTGATAAGGTTAACTTTTCACTAATTGAAGAGTTTACAAATCCGAGGTCATATCGTTTGGAATGAGTTTGGAAATAGTAAAAATGAATTGGATTCAAATTCTGTAAAAACTGAGCCTTCGGATTCAGGATGACGCATAAAGTGCTGGACGGGGTTCAACTGGAGTTTATTTAGTACAAAAATATTCTCTTAAATCTTAGATTTTAGTTCTCTTCTGTGTGTTTTCATGAATAAAACAGCAAGTAGCTACAAAGAAATGATTAAATTTCTATTTTATGTTAAGTAGATAACATTGGAGCATATTTATTTACAGAAAAATAACGTACGATGTGCAGATATCCACAAACAAAGGCTGCATGGGGATAAAGCTTCACAGTTTGGAAGATGAGTGGATGTTTGTTTTGGTGTGGTAGCGTTGGGGATGCAGAGCCACCACCAAAAAGGATCAATGTCAGACTCCAGCAGAAGTGGGTGGTTTTCTCTTTCAGGAGCCCATGCTGAATTAGATCAATCAAAGGATGGATTTCTATCATAGGAATCATTCAGACAGCGTTCCCAGCATGGAGCTTAAATTGCTGATTCATGGCGTATCGACCGCTTTGAGAAAAGAATATTCTGAATGTGTCATCGCTTTTTGTCCTACCTCTTCTTTTTAAATTTGATTGCCAGACATATTTTAGCTGACTTGCAGTTTGTGATCGATAGACGTCTCTTTATTTCTTGTAGTCCTTGAAGATAGAATCGTTCTCTTGACGTGCCACTGCTTAAACTTGTTAAATCTTGTTCTTCTTTCCGGGTGATGAAAAAGTCTTGTCCTTTGACAACATCTGGTGTTGTAATGAGGCCCTCACCCGCTTCCAGCCCTTGGGGCACAATTTTTCTCCAATTGTGGGGTAGAGACTGGTGCTAAACAGGTGTTTCTGCAAAAAACAAGGAAATGGAAAAACCATTGATTTCTTCTTCAGTTCAGAAAAACAGTGGTGTCCTCTCTGTAAAAACAGATGACGTTCACACAGATTTTCTTTCTAAAAACAGAGTTCAACCAGCACAGCCCTACAGGAGGGCGTCACATTGACCTTTTTCTGCCCAAACACCAGCAGAATAAGCTGATTTTTAAAAAAAATTGAATCATATGTCTTCATTTTCTACCAGGAAATGGAAAAAAACATCAGTTTCCCCCGAAAATCATAGAATCCAACCAGCATGACCCTACAGGAAGGCGCCACATTGACCATTGATTCAGCCCAAAAACCAACAAATTGGGCTGATTATTAGGAAGATTTGACTTGGATGTATTCATTTTCTACCAGGAAATGGAAAAACCATAGATTTCTCCTTCAGTTCAGAGAAACAGGCGATGTTCATACAGATTTCCTTCCTAAAAACACAGAATCCAACCAGCATGACCCTACAGGAAGGCGCCACATTGACCCTTTTCTCCCCAAACACCATTAGAATGGGCTGATTTTTGTGAAAATTTGACAGAAATGTCTAAATTTTCTACCAGCCCAGCCCTCTAACAAGTGGGGGAAAGACCATCTGAAGGCGAGGAAAGAGACAGATCTTTGGAGCCAAAGCTGGTGCACATTCCTGTGTTTTCCGACTTGCTTCCAGCATCGGAGCTCCATAACGTGTCGCTTTGGACCCTCTTGAGGCCCGCTCCTCTTTGTTTTCCGGGATGTTGAACTGATAAAAGCCCTCTCGTCGTTAGTTCAGAGGGGCTGGTAGGCTCTTCATAGGTTCCAGGGTTACAGCGGGTGAGTAAATTTAGCCCGGGAGTGCTAGCTACAGCGCTCCTCGGAGCCGGTGCCGGATTACATTATCATCCAGGGGCTGATGTGTTTACGCTTTGTTACTGACACAAAAAGACCAGACTGCAGAGTCGGCATGCAGGTTTGAATTAGGATAATGCCATGCCGGGTATGAAGCAGAACAAATATACTCGAACGGTGCTACTTTGGCATTGAAATGGATACTGACTCACAAGGTTTTCAGCATTTGAATAAGTGTTATGTGACGGCGTTATTAACACACTCCAGCACTAAATGTTCCCGTAACTCTTAAAATTCAGCGGTGATGTGCTTGCTGTGGGCTTGAGCTGCTTTTTTTTTTGTTTACTCTACTGAACTCTGTGAGCTGAATTCTTTACACCATAAGAATTAGTTATTTAAAGGTGACCCGTGTCAAATTGAATAGACGACTTTGAAAGACAGACTCTTCCAGTAATGCATTTTCCGATCATATGAAAAAGATTTTATCATTCTGGCTGCAATTAGAATAGACTTTTATCATAGGATAGTATCATTGAATTTCTTTGATTCTGCAGATAAGTGAGTTTACCTAATTTATCTAGATCTTCTCTGCTGGCTACTATAAAGGCCCAAAAATCTGGTCTCACTTTGATTTAATAGGGTTGGTTTAAATTTTTACCTGTTTGTACCAGATAAGAATTCCACAGTAATTAAAGTATTATAAGGTGCATTAAGAATGGATTTTTACATTGTGGTTACACCAAAGTTTTCAATTTCAATTTCAATGAGTTTGAATTGTAATCTCAAAGATGAAAATTGAAATGGACTTTTTACAGATATTATTTTTGGTTTTGGACTCCTATCTTTCTAAGTCAATTGTAGTTTTTTCAGAGGTAAAATGGTGACATTCAGATTTTTCATTAGTCAGTTGACTTGTGGACATTTGGAATTTGTTTAAAATGGGACAGCTTAGAGAAAGTCAGTCTATCAGCCATCTTGGATAGCTACAGTATCTGGCCTAAGTGAACATAATATGTACTTTTTATAATTTTTTTCTTTTTAAATCTCATACTTTAGCTTTTCTTGTTGCTTTTTTAGCTTGTTCTCTGTTGGATGAGCTGATCCGGAGTGAAATATGTGCTGGCCCGTATCGGGTGGCTCCTTTGGCCGGTGCCTCATGACGCCGCCCGCTTTTTTGAGGCGGACTGGATGATTCAGAGGAGATTCGGGTCACAACCTCTTGCCCTTCGTACCATTAAAAGACGGGAAAATGATTATTTCTCAAGACGTTTCCTTTATTTATTTGAGTCTATTTTCCCGGCACACGTGATTCAGTACTTCTGATCCGGGCTGTTGGTTTTCCATCCCGTTAAGAAGGCGTCTTATTTTTAGAAGTGTCCTCGTGAGTCGATGTAAGTCGATCCGGGTTGACAGTCTGCTGAGGAAGAGGAGTGCGTGTGTGTGTCTGTGCGTTGCGTATCCAGCGTGTCATCAAAGATTCATGGCCGTGGTGTGAGGGCTGTTGTGGATGTCGCTTCCTGCCTCTCGAGTCTGTGCGTCTCTGTGCGATAAGTACGTTATTTCTCGACATCCCGACGTGGCTCACGTCACGCTGTCGCAACCCCTCTAACCCGCGGGCGCACACGGACATGTTTAAAGAGAATTCAGGCCCCGTTCTAGTCCGTACCTGTCGGTTAAACTCTGTTCGGGAAGCCGATAATGGGACATGAGGCGCCTGGGAAGGGCCTTAAATCAGGAGTTCCTTCTGTTCCACTGAAGGCTCCAGCCCTTCAGTCCCTGCATGTGGGCTCAGACGTGACATGTAAAAGGCAAAAGTGTCAGAAATTGTGTCGTGATTCTGCCGAGATTCGCTTTCTCGCGTCTGTCTTTGATCCGTCGCAGACGGGAGTGTTTGCTTCACCCTTCCTATAGGAGAACGAATAAATGTTGCAGAGCATGAAAATTCCACTGTTGTGTTTCCAGGAAAGCTCCTTGTTTTTGTTTTGTTTTTCTTTTTGTTAGACAGCAGAATGCGTCAGAAACTGAGCAAAAATCAGCCCATTTGGACTCCACGTTTGTGGTCACTTAAAGCTTTTTCAGACTTTTTCAGACCGCTCTGCTCTAATAAAGTCATACATTTATAATCCCAGCATCATCTAACATAAAGACAGTTCTGGCATACATTAGGTTTTGTGTTACAAACTCTTTTACACATTAAGTTTATAGGAAGAAAAAAGCAGATAGGAATTCCACAGTAATTAAAGTATTACAAGGTGCCTTAAGAATGGATTTTTACACAATGCTTTCACCAAAGTTTTCAATTTCAATTTCAATGAGTTTGAATTTGAATCTCAAAGAGGAAAATTGAAACTGACTTTTTAAAGATATTAATTTGGGTTTTGGATTCCTATCGTTCTAAGTTAATTGTAGTTTTTTCAGAGGTAAGATGGTGATATTCACATTTTTCATCAGCCAGTTGACTTGTAGACATTTGAAATTGGTTTCACCACAGAACTCAGCGGGTCATTGTTGCAGGGCAAAATTTAATTACAGATATCTCCATTTTAAGATTTTTCAATTTTGAAATATTTCATGCCGCATGTGAATAAATTAAGCTGTGAGCACCAACCTCTACACTGATTTCTGGGCTGTCTGAACATGCAAAATAGGTGATAATAAATGGCAGTCTGAGGTGGCATTCAGGCAGATCCCCACGCTGTCAGGAATCCTGTCATTCAGACATGAATTACACCGGATGATGCTTTGTACCATTTTATCTCATTTTTTGTATCGAGCCCGGGAAGAAAATCTATTTTAACATGTATTATAGATTTGGATTGATGAAATCCATATTTAATGTTCCGTCTGTCTTCTTCTTGTCTGTGTCAGACTGTGGAATATCACATAAAGTGTCTGTTTTCATAGCACGCAGGCACAGGGCTGGTGCTGATACCCCTGTCAGACGGACAGGAAACCCCCGGTTTGGTAAACTGGACGATGACCGTTACAGGTTTAAAATCACGTAGGCGAGTCGGTTAGACAATACAAGCCATTTTAAAATGTCATCCTGAAGTCTGGGAACTGCCGATGGGTGTTTTTATATAGCTTTTTTTTTTTTTTTTTTTTAGTTTTTATATATCTTTTTTGGTTGTTTAAAATGGTAAAAAAAAAAAAAAAGCAGTATACCTGTAGCTCATTACATCAGGGCCTCCCAGACCAACCGTCCAATTTCCCCCAATTTCCTGCAGATTCCGCTTTATGTATTTTATGTTCGCAGCCCACACTGATTGCCACTTTCAGCCACCAATTACCCCTACATGGGCCTTGCAAGGGCTTCTGTGTTAAGATTACTGATCTGAAGTGCGGCTAGGACCCTTTACTGCTTCCTCCCTGGGTAATTTGAGATGTTAAATTGGTGGAGCATTGGTGTCAGAGTCCATCCTGGCTCAGTTTTTAGGTGTGCAGTTAGAATGGGGGTAAAAGGTGTCAATGATATCACACGAAAGGTGTGCCACAGAATGTCATTTCTGTTTAGTAGTTTTAAAAACTATGGATCAGCATGAAGGAAGCAGATGCAAAGAAAACAAAAGAGTAAAACAATTACAATTTGAGCACTTTCTCAGTTATACATAAGATTTACTTGCAAATCACAATTTATGATTTTGGATTGACAATTTATTCATTTATTTAGCTTAGAATCTGTGTACTTTCTCTCAAATTTGAATTTTTTTAAATACATTTCGGCACAAATCAATTTCCATACGGTCTTTATTTTCCAGAAGCAGAGCCTGGATCTTAATGCACCGCATGCAGGAGCGTCTTCATCCTAGTTTGATCCCTGGATGATTTTCCTTTTCAGAGATCAAGCACACGGCTCCAGACTCCGGTCCGTTTGCACCGTGTTAAACTGAGACGGTGTGTGATGCGAATGCGTGAACGTGAGAACGAGGTCAAGGTTTGAGGCCTGGTCCACACGGGCTTTATTTCAAGCACGGCTTACTCTGTGTAATTTACTATTGTATCCACAAATGAACGCGGTTCGGGAGGGCTGTCATGTCACAAAATCCAATTCTGTGATTAATTAACTGCTCTGCTGTCTTATCCGCTTCATTTTACGCAACCATAATGAGCTCAATAATAGCTCCGAGAAAAATAACACCAAAAGGCCATTTTCTAGCCCTTTAAGCTTTATAAACAATTAAATGCGCGGCGCACACGTGACATGGACGATAACTCGGAAAGAGACATACACAGCTTTCGGCTTTAGCTGCAATTTCGGCGAAAAGCGCCGACTAGGCAAAAGTATTGTTGTCTGCTTAAATAACCGGAGTCATATCATATTGATTATTATCCAAAGTTACAGATTTTTTAGGTTTGTGGAAACTGAAGATGATCCGACTTATTTTTGCTGTTTTACTGAAGATAATATGAGAGAACACAACCAATCGAATCATCATTTGTGCTTAAAATTGGACATATTTCCGATTTTTTTTTGCTTCTGTGGGTGCAGATGACACAACGCTGGTATGAATAATGTCTCACTGGTTCCCAGAGACTCATCCTAAGTTCTATTTTTCATCTCACAACATGCAGATGTACATTTTCAGCTAGCATAAGACCAGGCCAGATATTCTGAACCAGAAATAAGTTCATTTGTCTTCTCTGGCTCCACTGCGCGCCTGCGAGTTAACCATCATCAGATTTAGCAAAGAGCTGTCAAAATCCACATCCATCCCTCTTGGTTGGTTGATCACACCTGCTCAGCGTGTGAAAGAATAAACTCCTGCTACCAATCAAAGAGTTATTTTTGGTTCCCATTCTCAGTGTGTTAACTTAGCACTGTCGTATGGAACGGGCTTATTAATTATACACAGAGACTGGAACACTGCTTTAAAAGTTCACTTAACTTGAGAATATCCACTTCACATATGATGAAGTGCTCTGAAACCCACCGCCGCTTTAACAAGTGCAGCCATTTGCTTCGACGAATTGTGAGGGTTTGGTATAAAATACCTGGATTTAGTTTTGGATCCCTGGTTGAAATGAATTTTTATGAGGAGTAACAGCCTATAGACACTAAACCTTAACATGAAAAATTATTCAAATTGTCCACGAAAAACACTTATAGATGGGATAAGTAACATCTTGTGCATTTTACTATAAATAGTTGAAAAAAAACATTTGTAGGCTTATTTAACATCATGTGAAAGGCGATCTTTTGCACTTTAAAGCTTTTTGTGTGGACTGCAATCTAAAACTTAGATTTTTGCCAAATTAACAATTCACCACTGTTGTCTGACATTTAAGCTGTCTATGAATCACAGTACATAAACACAGGACATAAAAGTGCCGGCAGTGCCTGAAGCAGCAGCTTTTTCGGGGTATGAAAATGCTATGAAAATTTCTCCATTGAACCCACCGGGGTGGATCAGAACTCTTAACATTTATTCAAAATGAAGTGTGGAAAATTACGGATTCGGTGCTGAAAAATGACTAAAATACCGGTCGACTTTTGACTGATTTTGATTATAAAGCCGCCATTACTGTCCATTATTGTCCATTATTACTATCCATTATTGTCCTCAGCATTGTGATGGAGTCTGGTGTGACTGAAACGTGGATGTTGATCCTCATTTGCGTGAACGTCCCTTTGGAGTTGTTTTTTTTTAAAGAGCATCCTATTTAGTAGTCCGCATTGGCCACAAGGTGCAGGTACTTTGGTTTGGAATGCAAAGCGGACTCCTGGGCTCTCTGATGGTCCTGTGAGAGCTGTCGACACACTGCCTCATTAAGGAAGAGGACTGTGCTTACGGCGGTCAATATCCACCCTGTCATTTACGCACACACACACACACACACACACGCACACATCCGCACGGAGACGCCCGCCGGAGGTGCATAATGGATTTAACCCTCGCCACGGAGGCCAGGCAGCCATTTTGGGGGCTGGCTCTGACTTACACAGAGGACATTTACCCCCTTTTTTTTCCATTTGCGTCTTCGTTCATGGTTACACCTGTTTTATCCCATCAGAAGAAAAAAAACACATTTATGTGTGTGTGTGTGTGTGTGTGTGTGCGTGTGTTTGTTGCTGCATCAGAGTGAGGACTAGATGAAGTTTTTAACCAACAAAGTGAGGTCTTTTTTGGAAAGTGAGGACATTTTCCTGGTCCTCACTTTA